TAAAGGCCATCCAGAAAGGAAGCTTACGACCTTCCCTGCTAAACCTGCTATGCTGAAGAATCTTCCCTGTGTATCAAAATCCTTTTTATCTATCTTCAAATTCCAATTTGACTGGATTCATTTTAACTGGAGCATAAAACCAGACTAGTTTAGAATCTAAGCCAGATGTACTAGTTCTAACAATGTTAGCAAAATAAAGCTTAAGAGATAAGAACTCAGAATTTTTACTTCATAAAACATCCTTTTGAATCAGCACTTTTTAGCAAAATTCAGTTACATTCTTCTTCAGTGAGCAACCATGAAAATGCCATCTGCCCCTTTCTCCAGAAGTTTCTACTATATCTGGCTACAGCTTGTTAACCAGTCAGGTACTCGGTCAAACAAAGCTGTTCCTATAACTAAATATAATTTTCCCTCTTTCCAAAGAAAAGCAAAGAAAACTGAAATTCATATTATGCCTTATTTAAAATCTATTCAGGTAGGAGAAGACTCTAAATAACATAAGTATCCAAAGCTCTCAGCCCAGCACATGGATGCAGGAGCCACCACCGCATCCTAACCTGCCCTGGATCAGAGGACGCTGCTGGTCTCAGGACCAGTGTGAACCCTCTTCTACCCACCTGCAAGTAAGAATCAAGTTCGATAATGGATTTCTTCAGAAACCTCATAACCTGTGACCACCATGATCATTTTTCTTGGAATTTCTCATTTCTCACAAGGTCAGAGTATGATAAGTACTTCTGATTTTCTTTCTTTTAAAAAAATTTTTTTAATGTGTATTTTTAAGAGACAGAGGCAGACATAGAATCCAAAGCAGGTTCCAGACTCTGAGCTGGCAGCAGAGTCTGACGCGCGGCTCAAACTCACGAACTGTGAGATCATGACCTGAGCTGAAGTCAGACGCTTAACCAACTGAGCCACCCGGGCGCCCCAGCACTTCTTATTGACTCCTCTGTTCAGTTAGAAGCAAGGCTGCAGTTTTGTTCTTCCGATACAAAAGTGGAGAGGCACACAAAAGGGAATTTCAAAGGTACAGAGAGAACCTAAAGAATGGCCCTCTTGACTGATGAGTATAGACTAGAAATACTCAAAGAAAATTTAACAAAAATTATCAAAACACAAGGATTTCTTAGTACTTTTTAAAACTTTATGGTTCAAACCAAACTTTGCAGGCAGAAATGCATCACTCCAAAGAAGGCGGACAAGAAGAGAGTTACTTCACTGCAGAAACAAAGGGAACAAACACACTGGAGTAAAGCAGCAATTAGGCCCGAGTTCAAAGATGGGAGCGTCCCCATCCGCAGCAGGATGGCTGAGCTTGGGCAGATCGATGCATCATAACGCACTAGCTGGGATTGGATGCAACTTTAATCAGTCTTTCCAGAAAAAGTCACCTCCAAATGGAGCCTCACTGTGGGTCTGGGTTTGTGAAAAACCAGCCCTAGATGACAGTCAGAGGCTACTCTCACATCCTCAACAAAAAACAAGCACATGTTTCTGGAGAGAGAGTGGCCTGCTGGATCTAGACCCACAAAGTTGCCAATTCAAGGAAAATGATGGCGCCCTGTGAACGAGAATTCTAAAATTCCAATTCTAAAGAATACATCTGCTTATTACTTTTCACGCGTCTAAGCCCTAACAGACCTCCTGGTTTCCGGGCGGACTAAGGTGTGTCAACACCACAATCTTCAACCTGTGCCTCAAATGCTGCCTGGCAGAAAGCCCCTCAGCCCACTTTTTCACCCGGTTCCTTACAAGGATTAACTTCCCCGCATTGCCGGTTTCCATCACAGTGAAACGGCTTCCAACCGAGAGCAGACCCGGGAGAAACCGTGCTCTCTGCCGAAAGCCGGGTAGAAGCCCGGACAAAAGGAACATCAGTTAAGCACAGGCAAGAATTTAATTTCCAAAACCTAGTGGGGTGTAAGTAAGTCCCTTAATTAAAGCTTTTGTAGCATCTCCTCGAGGTCTGTAATTGTCTCTCTGTGCTCAGGCGGCAGGGCCACTTTGAGGACCTTGGGGGTAACTCTCGGCCAGTAACGCAGCACAGCACCCAGTCTTTAGCACATTTTCTGGCTAATTGACCTTCAAAGAGTTTGTGAGCTACCGCTCTTGCTCGCTGCCAAACACCTTTCACAGTTTCTTTTTGCCCCTGTCTTTCTTTTAGAGGAATATTATAGGCCCAACGTTTGGATTAGCTTCACACGCAGAGCCATTCCTATAATTTTATGAAGCATCGGAAGTGAAGGTGGAAGGCGATAACTGAGCAGGCCTCTAATCTGAACGTGGGGCAGTGTTATCAAGCACGAGGCTCTTAATTCCTTAACCTTAAACCCCCTGCCGGTGGCTATATTCAGCTTTTTCATCTGGTACTTTATTGTGACCATTGCTAATAATCATCTACTCATAATTTTACTTTTCCCCTCACATCACTGAGACCTGCTTCAGGGTTCAAATCCCCACACTTAACTGCCTGCAATCTAGTACTTCATCACCAAATTTTCTCCAATAAAAAGGTAAGAACAAAATAAAAAGAGGGCAAGGAGCCCTGGAAAAGGACTGAGTCTGTGTGACACATGTCACAGCAAGGAACAGAAAACACCACTATTGGCGTAGATACAAATAACCACACAGAGCTCTCCATAAATTCCGGGACAAAACACAAAATGCAGAATCATACAGACACTGGAGCCTACTGGGTGGACTGAGTGTGCTTTAGGCCTGTTCTAAGTGACTGACCATGTGATACGGGTGGGCACAGGAATCATCGGTTAACAGGCCGACTCTAGGGCTAGCGTCTAGCCAGCCTCCCCCTTCCTCTCCGAAGCCTCAATTCTAAATGCCATCGCGCAGCGCCACAGCCCATCCTAGGAAACCACGAAGGACAAGAAACTCCCCAGTGCCCCATGGTGGCGTGATGCGGACACAGTGGCACGGGGCCGACAGCACAGTCCCCTACACAGGGCTCCCCTCCCGGCTTTCCCCCAGCTTCCTGAGAGTGCAGTGACCAGAACCGTCCACCTCACCTTCCCTAAGTGGTGTTAGCTTAAATAAAGAGAAAGGACAAAACCAAACACACAAACTGAACACGGGTGCAGAGTAGTTGTTCTTAAAGTGTCAGAGGCAGGAGTTCTCGCGTGAGCCGGCTGAGCTGTACACAGTGGAGAGCCCCCAACGGGCAGGGAGGAGGCACGATGGAGACAATACAGTAACTTATAAAGAAAAGGGTTTTAGAAGGAAAAAAAAAAAGTATAATTACTGAGCTATAAACCCACACATTTTTTTGCCCAACCCCAGTCCACTACAGGTTGGGAGAAAACTCTCTCTACAAAGCTCATTTAATTTGTAAGCGGAGACTGAATAATTTCCAACTGGTAATATAAAACACCCATTTCTCCCTAGATGTACATAATTCTTTACCTTACATCTGAAGTGAAATATTTATGGTACCTAAAGTCTTTAAAGAGAGGAGACCTAATCCCTTGAGTTTAATGGCTATCTTTCAGCCCTTTCAGAAGATCAAAAGGAAGGAAAAGCCCTTACACAACTTTACAGTGCTAATCCCAACACACCTGCAGACACTATTAACTCTGCGAGCAGCGGCGGCCGGACGTGAGGACAGAGGGTGCCTGCTGACCCCCACTGCCCGGCCCCGAGGAGGAAACCCGCGCTCCCGGGGCACCCTGTGGAGACTGGGCTCGGCGAGGCCCCCGCCGCAAGTAAGGACTGGATCCTGGAGACTTTATTCCTAAAAAGGAATCAGCAAAGCCCAGACTATCTGTTCTCCTAACAAAAGGATAAATGTCTTCAATAAAAAATCTTCTAAATAAATCACCACAGGGTACCTGGGTGGCTGTCATTAAGCATCTGACTCCAGCTCAGGTCATGATCTCCCTGTTTGTGAGTTCAATCCTCTCTCTCTCCCTGCCTGCCTCTCCCTCTTTTTTTTTCTCTCTCTCTCTCTTCTTCCCCACGCCACCTGCCCATGGGATTCTCTCTCTCTGCCCCCACTTACACCTGCTCTCTCAATAATCACCACAATCACCTTATGATCAAACTCCAAAATTTCCCAGTTTACTTTGTATACACAAATTTGTAATTCCCATGGCATTCACTTTTTAAGATCTATTTTAAAGTCTCATCTTAATTATGTCACTCTCATACCCACAGAGTCCTATGTAAAAAGCTGAAGAAGGTCAACAATGTTAGAACTTAAATGTTATCCATCCAGGGGTGCCTGGGTGGCTCAGTCGGTTAAGTGTCTGCCTTCAGCTCAGATCAAGATCTCATGGTTTGGGAGTTTGAGCCCCGCACAGGGCTCTGGGCTGACAGCACAGAGGCTGCCTGGGATTCTCTCTCTCACTCTCTCTGCCCTTCCCTGGCACACAACACATGCTCACTCTCAAAAATTAAAAAAAAAAATGCAATCCATCCAATTGCAATTTTAAATCAGTCTCAAATTTACTTGTATAAAACCAAAGGATATTTAACTCCAGGTTAAAAAGTATCCTCACACACTACTGGTTTTAAAATTCCTATTCTAAAATAATGCATCGTCCTACATTTGTTTGATGCTTCCATCATTTCCCTCAAATTGTCACATTTCTTAAACATTCTTAGGACAGTTTTAGAATAAAAACGTCAGAAATAAAAGGCAGGACTATCCTGCTTTCCTATACTAATAAAATGGTTCTTCTCTAGTTTTTTACCTAATACAGTCTTTTAAGGAGACAATTTCACAAGCCAAGTATGATCAACATTATTACTTTCTCCACAATCATAGTGAAATAATATTAATAATCATAAGAAGACTATTGTAGGATTAATTGGGGAAATAAGGGAATGTTGAGTATATAAGACTGTATCTGTAATTTCAGAATTAGTTGACTTAATTTGAGACCTTTGGCCAACATGGAGTTAACAGAACTCCAAATGTGTAATAATAGTGGGTGGGCTGTAGTTTCAGAACGAGAGAGTTCCACTGACAGGTAGGAGGGAGTGCGGGTGAAAAAGTAAAGACGCTGAGACTGTTAACGCCAGGGTACCTTGCCTTCTATTCCTCTCCTTCCACCCGCAGGGAAGGCTGGGCCTCAGCTCCACTGCAGCCCTGGCCAAGTCCCCGAGGCCAGGCACGTCACAGATGGGAGAAAGCCAAGCCCTAGGAGATTAGGGAACCCGCCCAAGGCAAGCAACTGGATCGCCTACAGAGTGCGCACAGGTGCCAACGGCCACGGACCCGGGGGGTAGGGGTGGGGGTGGTGTGTGTGTGTATGTGTGTGTGTGTGTGTGTGTGTCCAGCCCAGAGCACAGATGGCCCACGGGATAATGTCTTCAAACCTCTGGTCAAGCTGTCCATTCCATGTTTGCAAACTTCTGGTTTAGAATAAAATAAACAAACAGAACTTAAGAGGGAGAAAGAAACCTGACAACCTCTAACCTCAGGACAGACCCAAGCAGGCTCCGCAGAATTATTAACACAACATAAAACTGACAAAACCTAGAGTGAGCCTTCCGGGGAAAACAGCTATGCTGTTTTAGACCTCTCACACATCATAGGCACACTCAAAGAATACATTCCAGATTCTGGAGACCAGGCTAGGATAACATAAGCAGATAAAGTAGCACCTCAGTGACACCAGCTAGAAAGGCGAGGAGAGCGAGTGCGGCAGTCAGAGCCTGTGCAGCGCCTGCTTTTGAAGCAGGAAACTCTTGCATGATTTGAACCCGGGAAACGACTTAGAGAAGATCTTGTCTGTGCCTTTATTTCAGAGAGGAGAAAATGGATACGACAGAGGTTAAGAAAAACCACACGGCCAGGTAAGAGCAGAGCTGGGACTCGAAGCCCAGCCTGTACCCACTGCCAACGTTCTCGAGCGCAGAGCTGAAATCTGCCCGGAGTGTACTCTGGAGAGTGAGTCTCCATCCCCTAATGCGTTCCCAAACTCACGTGCCTCTCCACAGCTGTGTGGTGCAGACGGACAGATCCCAGCATTCCCCTTAGGGATGAAGAAGCTCACACAAAGGGACGGAGTCCTAGATGACATGGGCTCCAGCGACACAAAGACCGGATGCAACACCCAGGGCTGCTTTTACCATGCCGCAGCCGAACACGCGTCCTCAGGTCTGACAAAACATGCTCTTTCCTATTGTTTTAACTGCTGTCTGTACCATCCTGGGCCCCGCATTTCAACTTAGTTTATATTCACATGTCGAAAGACATTTTTAACATCTTCGTTACATTTTATGTCCAAGTTTGCCAAACTGTTCTTAAAGTATCTTATGTTGGAGCTGTTCCCTGTTATTCACTGTTATACACAGGGCTTCTAGAATATATACTGCTTTTTCAATTTCTTTCCCTTTGCCAAGACTAACAGCACACAAGTTTAAAAAACAGATCCTTGTCTGGGTCATCATATATCAAAGCGTTTAAACAAGAGACCTCTAGCAATGCTAAGCCGGGCCGTGCCGATCCCGTCCCGCACAACACCGACCAGTGCTTTCCCTTGCCTGGTACCGGGTTCCACCTTTCTTAGTTGTACTGATGGCGGCGGGGGGGGGGGGGGGGGGGGGGGGGGGGGGGGGGGGGGGAGATGGGTGGTGGAATGCTCCAAAGCAACCTAGGAAAGTAATTCCAAGACAATCTCTGTTCAGAGAATATAATTCAAACATGCTAGGAGCCTTCAGGAATTAAGAGAATGATCAGAAACTCTCCTCCCGGGCCAAAGCTCAGTGGCCGAGGACAGCACTGATCAAACACCCACCATCTCCTGGTGAATATTACACATCGAAACGGTAAGTTCTGGAGGCGTGTAGAGCAAGGCATTTTATCTGATATTTTGCTCCAGGGTTTACTCTTTAATGGCCTTCGACATCACTCAGAAGAAACTGCTGGAACTACAGTCACACGGTGTGTGCACAGTAAGGCAAGTGCACAACCCCCTGTATTTGCTCTTATGCTGGGACGTGCTGCTGCTCCCCCACATGCCCTCTGCCACCTCTCTCCAAATACGCTCTTTTCATGTAAGAGTGTGGCTGCCACCATGTCATGGTTTCGGGGGGGGGGGGGCGCGGCAGATTTTTCTATTCCACTGAATTAGCCCCCATTCTTTTGTTAATACCTGAAATTTTTATAACGGGACCAAACTGCTCTCCCTTCACAGTCAGAAAAGCGGCTGAAAATCAAAGCATCCCTTAAGTTCATACCGATACGTATCATGGGAACTAAAGTCAGATCCTTTCCAGAAAAAAAAGTATTTTTTTTTAATATTTATTTTTGACAGAGAGAGAGACAGCGTGAGCAGGGGAGGGTCAGGGAGAGAGGGAGACACAGAATCTGAAGCAGCCTCCAGGCTCTGAGCTATCAGCACAGAGCCTGCCGTGGGGCTCGAACCCACGAACTGTGAGATCATGACCTGAGCTGAAGTCGGACATTTAACCAACTGAGCCACCCAGGTGCCCCAAGAAAGTATTTTTATTTTTTATTTTTTTTTTTATTTTTTTTTATAGTTTTATTCATTTCTAGGAGAGAAAGAGACACCATGAGCCGGGGAGGGTCAGAGAGAGAGGGAGACACAGACTCTGAAACAGGCTCCAGGCTCCGAGCTGGCAGTCAGCACAGAGCCCGACGCGGGGCCGGAACCCACGAACCGCGAGATCACGACCCAAGTGAAAGTCGGACGCTCAACCGACTAAGCCCTTCAGGCGCCCCAAGAAAGTATTTTTAAAGGAATAGAAGGGGACCAATAAGAGCCCGGGCCCCAGGGGCAGAGGGTGGGGAGGAAGAGCCCTAGAGACACAGGGTGGGGCTGCAAGGCCTGGGGTTCTCAGTACAAGCCGTTGATTTCACATTTGGCCAGTCTCGCCTGAAATAACCGTCCGCAGGAAGATTACGTTCCTGACCCCCAGCCCAAGTCACCCGCGTGACCAGCAGCATGGATTTCTCAAACAGGTCAAGATTAGACCAGAGCTATTCAACATCAATGTAAAGCAAAATAACGCACCAAGATCCAAGCTCTCAACTGGGATCTCAATGAAGTTAAATTGTCCTTCTATTATTTATATAAAAGCACTGGGAGTGGTTTTTTTTTTTTTTTAATTTTTAATGTTTACTTTTGAGAGTAAAAGAGAGAGAGCACAAGTGTGGGGAGGGGCAGAGAGAGGAAGACACGGAATCTGAAACAGGCTCCTGGGTCTGAGCTGGCAGCACAGAGCCTGACGTGGGGCTTGAACTCAGGAACGGTGAGATTATGACCTCAGCCAAAGTCAGACGCTTAACCGACTGAACCACCCAGGTGCCCCATGGGATTCCTGCAATGATATAACAGAGAAAAGACTAAGCTAAAAGGCAGAAAGGAGTCTAAGTAAAGGATAATATGGGAAGCAGAGAGAAAAGGTGCTGGCAAATGAAGGAACCTCTGGAAAAGACAGATACCTAATGAACGTCCGATTAACCTTCTGCTTCCCCAATGCCCCAAAGTCCACAGTAAAATACGCGTTTCTCATTTTTTAACAAAGTAGATTATGGACTAATATATTTTAATAATGTTTAGTTATTTTTGAGTGAGTGAGAGAGACAGAGCATGAGCAGAGGAGCAGAGAGAGAGGGAACCTGAGGCAGGCTCCAGGCTCTGGGCTGTCAGCACCAAGTCTGACACGGGGCTCAAACTCACGGAGTGTGAGATCATCACCTGAGCCGATGTCGGACGCTTACCTGACTGAGCCACTCAGGTGTCCCTGGATTAATATTTTTAAAAATCAGGGGCCCCTGGATTAATATTTTTAAAAATCAGGGGCACCTGGGTGGCTCAGTCAGGTAGGCATCCAACTTCAGCTCAGGTCATGATCTCACCGTTCACAAGTTTGAGCCCCATGTCGGGCTCTGTGCTGATAGCTCAGAGCTTCGAGCCTGCCTGCTTCAGATATCGTGTCTCCCTCTCTGTCTGCCCCTTCTCTACTCATGCTCTGTCTGTCTCTCTCTCTCTCTCACCCACTCTCTCAAAAATAAATTAAAATTTTTAATAAAGATTTTAAAAATGTTTTTTAAGGGGCACCTGGGTGGCTTAGTCGGTTAAGTGTACGATTTCAGCTCAGGTTACGATCTCACGGTTTGTGGGTTCGAGCCCCACATCGGGCTCTGTAGCCAGCTCAGAGCCTGGAGCCTGTTTCAGATTCTGTATCTCACACCCTCTCCCTCTGACCCTCCCCTGCTCACGCTGTCTCTCTCTCATTCTCAGAAATAAATAAAAAACATTTGAAAATGTTTTTTTAAAATCAGCAAGCATTATTATTAAGGCTCCCAGAGTCTTGCTTTTTAAAAAAAAAAAAAAGGAAGATGTTGGTCAGTGATTTTTAACAACAGTCTAATTTCCTAAACCATAATAGATGGTAAGCTATTAGCTCCTAAGCAGTGAGAGTTACTATATCAAACTCTACTTCTGGCTCAACTATACATAAGCAGGGAGCAAAACAGAGACTGAAAAAGGTGTTGGAATCCACTGAAATGACTTAAGAGGATAACAGAAGTCAACAAACAAACAAACAAAAAAACAACCCGACAAATACATCACTCTAAACAAAGTCGTTGGGTGGGAACCTGGTTATTAAGTTGCAAAGTGCTCTGAAAAGATGATGGATACCAATATGTGCCCCAGCTCTGTGTAAACAGGGATCACACAGAGTCCTCTGCTTTGATTCATAATGTGTTCTTTAAACAGTTACAGAATAAACCCAACATACAAATCATCAACTAAAAGGTTTTTATCAATTCCCTAGTTATGGCATAAACATTTCCTTTTGGAATCTGAATCTTATCAATACTATCTGATTAAGGTCTCACTTATCTCAATTTCTAATTACCTTTACATCTACATAAGACATTTATTTTAATGTTGGGAAAGACTGCTAACAGATTAAAAGGGTTGGGCTGATTAAGGAGACTATCATGCCAATCTGTGCTTGCAAATTTCAGGTTTTCTTTTCTTGAAAGAGTCCCACCCATTCAAATACCCTCATGTTTTCTCCTGTACCAGGTTCAATCTAACTAACAGACTTCCAAAACTCATTTTATCTTTTAAAGATATCAGAGATTAAAGTTTAGATATCTTATACTCCTTCATGGATTCCAAAAAGTTTTACCATAAATTCAGGAAGTTAAAAAATACCATTTAAAAGAAGCAATAATTGGAAAACAGCATGTATCAAAATCTACAAAGCAAATGGAAAAAGAAAAAACTGGATCTACTCCTCAAATGTACTCAGGATAAATTACAAAGAGGTTTAAATGTAAAATGATGAAACACTTAAGCTCTAAAGGAAGCATGGAGAATTCCTCCCTCATCACAGAATGGAAGAAACTTTATGACTCAAAATCTAGAAGCAATAAGGAAACAGACTGGGAAGTTTTATTACATAAAAATCTAAATGGCAACAAAACAAAATTTAAAAACTTAAAAAACAAATGGTTGGATGTACATCACAAACGGTTAATATCTCTAAATGAATCAAAAGTTTCTAAAAAGAGAAGGAAAGCGCAACATACCTAAAGAAAAAATAAGCAAGACCTATGAATAGAAGTTTACAAAAAAGGAAATAAAAATGTCCTAAATCATGAACACATGTTTACTTGCTCACAAGAGTAAGCCAGCTACAACTATAGTAGACACCCTTTTCCTCCTGAAATACTGCCCCCCAAATAGAGAAGTCTGACAAGTTGTGAACAAGGTTGAGGGAAAAAAGGTGTTCTCATCAGCTGCTGGGTTTGTATGGTGTCAGGACACACGTCCCCCAGAGAGGTGTTTGGTGCTATCTAACAAAAATATGAAATTATCCTTTGTCCAGCAGTCCCAAACTTCTAAGAATCTGTCCCAAAGAAACACTAGCAAAAATACCAAATAGCATAGACACAGAGCTATTCTTTGTGGCATTATGTGCAGAAGCAAAAGACTGGAAACAGCCTAACTAAGTCCATCGATAGAGAATTCGTTGAATAAACTGTGGCACTCCAGTACAGCACTCTGCAAACGTCAGAGAGAGACAGAGAGACAGAGAGATCTCCATAAATGGCTGCAGAGTGATCTCCAATGTAGATTAAGTTAAAGGAAAAAACAACAAGGTACCAAGCAACATGTAAAGTATCAACTCCCCAGTTGAGAACGTGGAGAATACATACACACACATTAAAAAAAAAAACAAAAAACAAAACAAAAAAAAACTACAGAAAGATAACTGAAAATTAGTAAAAACCATAACCTAAATAGGCAGTGAGGGAACAGTGTGATCAGAACAGGAATAAAAGTTGGAATTCTTGAAATATACTTCAATCTATAAGTTATATCCTAAGTGCAAAGAGAACTGCAGATAACGTTTAAATTGTTTTAATAATCATACTGATGTCATTTTGAAAAACAGTGTGAGCAAATAACTTCATCAGGAACCAAGATTTTCAATGTAGAGAAAAGAGCTATAAATATAAAATCAAGTATATTAAGTAAAAATCTCCTAATCCTAAATTACAAATATCCATATAACTCAATGTTTTCTTGTTTAAAAAACAGAACAAAAACCAGTTTCTCCAGCCCTGCACATCGAAGTCCCAGAAGCGACTTCTTCAGTAGCAGTGAGCAACTTTAACACCCAGACTGTGATCTAAATTTGATTTCTCACTAAGAGGAACCAGGGCCGCTTGGATATATAGACCTGTTTCCAGGTCTGACACAGAAAATATGTATGAGCCCAGAAATGTTTTCTACATTATTACCAGCTTTAGAAAAAGCCCCATTGTATACAACCATTTTCCCTCCCACCCCACCCCCCACCTTCATTTTAATAAGAACCTCCTGACAAAGGCATCTTAAGACTTAAAAGTCTCTTCCCCTACTCTTCCAGGACAATTCAGTCCTAAAGAGGCTAAAGGCAGCAGAAATCCCCACCCTAGGGACCATGTCCCCTAGATCAGGAAAAAGAGAGTCAGCCTGGAGTGTCAGAGCCTAAGGGGATGGCAAAGGCATCCACAGCTGAGCAGAGGACACATGGAGGGAAAAGATGGAGTCTGGTTACAAACAAGGGCACCGATCAAGTAAGTGAGTGAGTGAGGAATAATGGGAGCTGCGTTTCCCTCTGTTGGAGAGACATGCAAACATGGGACAGCTATGGACTTACGGTCTTAGAAAACACACACACACACACACACACAGAAGAAAATGTGTGTGTGCGCGCGCACACATATACATGGAAATAACTCACTTCCAACAGCAATAAACACACCCTAAATCTTGGCTTTTAAACACCATTTCCTAATAAATAGAACCAGGACGGAAAATGGGGCAATGGAAAGTTCCAGGTAAGACTAGGAATATTTTCTTGAGCCCAAAGCAAGGGAATGCTAATAAAGAATAGGAACATATTAAAAGGACACAGAAACCACCTTGAAGGAACACTCAATAGCCAAATTGGGGACAATGTGATCAACACAATTACTATATTGAATTAAAATAAATAATAGTCCATACTTCTAGAAATAGGAAGATACATTAGGAACAGGACATTTAAATAATTTCAAAGCTCTTCCCACAAAATGTTTTATTATAATGGGGAAAGGAATAACTTTACAGTAAAGCCTAGTAACCACCACCTTAACAATTAAAGTGAACATCGTCAGTTATGAAATAAATGGAAACTGTGGCACTTGAGAAGACACCATTATTTGTGTTACATTCTTCCAAAGACGCCGAACCCGAATCCACTGGTAAGGAAACCCTAGATAACTCAAAATTGAGGGATGCACTACAGAACTGACCTGTAATCTTCAAAAGTGTTAAGGTCATCAACATCAAGTAAAGAACTCTCCAGAAAGAGACTAGAGAATCATGGCAGCTAAAGATAACATGAGTCTTGGATGTAAAGATTGACAGAACTTGCCTAGGGTCTCAGGATTAAGATGGTGGTTAGCATTAAGATGAATGAGGTTTTCCTGATGTTGATGACTATACTGTGGTTATGCGGGACAATGTCCTTGTCTGAAGGAAATACACTGAAGTACTCAGGAGTAATGGGAGATCAGGTTAGTAACTTATGCTCCAACAGTTCAGGAAAGGCTTTTTGTACTGTACTTGTGTTTTTTTGTTGCTGTTGTTAGAGGGAGAGGGAGGGAGGGAGAGAGAGAGAGAGGGAGAGAGAGAGAGCGCGAGAGCGAGCGAGCGAGCGTAGACGTGTGCAAGCAAGGGAAGGGCAGAGAGAGAGAGGAAGAAAGAGAATCCCAAGCAGGGTCCTTGCTATCAGTGTGAGCCGACATGGGGCTTGACTGTGAGATCACGACCTGAATGGTAATCAAGAGTCAGACGCTTAACCGACTGAGCCACCCAGGCGTCCCTGTACTTGCATTTTTTAAATAAGCTTGTGATTATTTCAAAATTTTAAAAAGACAAAATGGGATTTAAGTTATAGGAGTGTCCTGATGGGAGCTTTCATCAAATTCTCAAAAACAACAAAAAAATTACCACCCCAGTTCTATACTTTGGAACAAAAGGAAATACTAAATATGAATATGTCAAAGGGAAATGGACATTTTGAAGATGGGTAAATTCAATAAACTTATATGCTTATTAAACCCATCTACTTCAAAGAAGAGCAGTTATCGGTTTTAAGTAACTCAATTATTCCCTAGACTTTTCAAAGCCACTGCAATGGATAGGTGGTTTCCTTCCTTAAGATCTGTCCATCTACAGGAGGGAAGCAAACCATAAGAGACTCTTAAATACTGAGAACAAACTGAGGGTTGATGGGGGTGGGGGGAGGGGAAGGGGGTGATGGGCACGGGGGAGGGCACTTATTGGGATGAGCACTGGGTGTTATATGTAAACCAACTTGACAATAAACTATATTAAGAAAAAAGATCTGTCCATCTACCTATCTAAATACATGCATATGTCTTGTTCTCTATCATAGTATTTCCTACTGTTTGGGGAAATACAACGCCTTATTTCATTTTGTTCCCTTCCCCTGACAAAATATTAGAGATCATCCATTATTTTAAGTGGCTAATTGTGTTGAGGGATTTATCAGACTAAAGGAAAAGTCACTGCCATATTACATTAACTCATATCATTAACTTTTCAACTGACCAAAAAAAACTTAAGAAATACGAGCTGAACCAATGTTCTGGCAGACTTTCCCTTTTAAGTCAGCGTTGATGGAAAGGACTCTTACTTCCGCCGTCCCCACAGGAGTGAGACGCCACCGGGTACCTGGTCTTCCTGAGCAACCAGAACTGAAGGACATCTGATGCCTTATCGCTGATGCAGAAGCTGGAGCCACAGCTACTCACGGCTTTCGCCCGCAAGGTACCTCTCCAGGTGACAGGAAGGCTTCTTTTATAAAACTCTAGCTCCTCCTGGGGCGCCTGGGGGCTCCGCCAGGTAAGCATTCTGACTCCTGGTTTCGGCTCAGGTTCTGTGAGTTCCAGCCCTTCATCGGCCTCCATGGGACAGCACGGGGCCTGCTTGGGATTCTCTCTCCGCCCCTCTCCCACTCACACTGTCTCTGTCTCTCTCAAAATAAATAAACTTTAAAATGAAATAAAATCTTAGTTACTCCAACAACACTGTACAGAGGGAGAATACCTACTTCTCATCACTACGGCACTCGTGAACTTCCAGCTTCTCTAGAAAGGTGGGTTTCAAACTTATTTTTACAACAGGGACCTTTTGTTCAAATTTTACTTGGAAGTATACAAATACAATGCGTTTGCTGTTTTATGGGAGCCCAGACGACATTTAAAAAAATTTTTTAATGTTTATTTTTGAGAGGGGGGGGTAAGAGAGAGAGAGGGAGGGGCAGGGTGCAAACAGGGGAGGGGCAGAGAGAGAGAATGAATCCGAAGCAGCCTCCAGGCTCTGAGCTGTCAGCACAGAGCCCGAGCCCAGTGTGGGGCTCAAACTTATGAGATGTGAGATCATGACCCGAGCCGAAGTAGGGCGCTTAACTGACTAAGCCACCCAGGCACCACCCAGAAGACATTTTAAAAGCCACTCCTCTATAACATATTCCCTGGGACGGGCCAATGTCTTCACTAGCTGTAAAAATTCCAGCCGGAAATAAGTGCCAGTCGTTTGCAACACCTTCATGGCAACAAAACACAAATGCATCCATGAAATGAACATCCATGAAGGAGGCTGGAATGAGCCCACAGCCCATGTCGATAGGGCAGGGGTCACTGAAGGTGAACTCAAAAGTCAAAAGTAAAGGGATACAACAACAGAGAAAGGAAAAATGAGAATGGTTTTACTAAGACTTAATTTTGAAATGACTCCGAGGTTAGCATGAAACCTGATTCCATGATCTTACAGCTGGATAGCACTTAATTCTGCCAAGGAGTTCAAGCAGGTAGAAATTAAAATAGAACTTGTAAGTGAGGATTGAGTTTACCTTTGAGAAAAGAAAATTCCAAAGATCAGCGGTTTAATGAACACAGAGGTTTATTTTATATCAAACACAGAATTAAGTGCTCCAGGGAAGGCAACCTTTATTCTGAACAGCCATGTGGACAGCTGACTGCTCCACGTCAGCCCCACCTAGGGATTTATTCAATGTTTACCTTCTTCTAGCCACCAAGGCACCCAGGCTTCCGATGGCTGGACTGGCTACTCAGAGAGCTGGAGTTCAGTTTCCCAGAACACACCATTCTCAAGCAATACGCTGCAGCACACCCATGTGCCCAAACCAGGGTGCCACCAAAGTGTAAAACTGCTGCTACCCGGAGAAAGTGAAACTGTCTTATATGTAAGATGAAAACTAAGTAGTAAAAGTCACCCTAAAAATCCTCTAAACTTTCAGGATCTGGGCCCATCTCGCAAGCTAAAACTGAGTTCCGTTTGCATCCCTTTGTATTTGGGCCATGGCCTTTTCTATAGAACAATGGACGCCAGGATCCAGTTTGGAAGCAGGAAACAAAGGAATATAAGGTGGCAAATAAAGATATTTTTGCCCAGCAAAAAAAGCTGAATTGAACCCAAAGAATGCATTCAGTTACAGCCTGCATGCTTAACGGGAGTGAAAATGAGTTCTTGGGGCAGAAAGAGAGGTATGAAAAAAATCATACAAATTACAGGGGCGCCTGGGTGGCTCAGTGGGTTGAGTGTCCGAGTTTGGCACAGGTTGTGATCTCACAGTTCGCGGGTTTGAGCCTCACATCGGGCTCACTGCTGTCAGCACCAGCCCGCTTCAGATCCTCTGTGCCCCTCTCTCTGCCCCTCCCCTGCTCGTGCTCTATCCAAAATAAAACAAACATGAAAAAAACCACAACAACTACAATGGTTTGTGGCCCTCCAATGCTGAACCCAACTTGACCATCTTACTCCTGAGTATTCAGGTCCTCTCACTGGGTCGCCCTGGGCACACAGGAGCAGCACCGACACGGAATATAAAGCAGCTGTATGCCAGCTCAGTCAGCACTGCAAAACCACAGCGACAGACGGCTGGGACTCTGACTGCCAGACTTCCTGTCGCTCATGCAGCCGTGTGGACAGGCGGCCTGTGCGCGCACACGGGCTGCCGTCAGCTGCCGTGAGGATACTGTTCATGTCTGACGCCAGGAGCTTCTGTACGGCTCAGGCTTTGACAATAAAACGTTTCTAATTCAAAAAGTTATTCAACACATCATTAATTACATCACGTGCCAAAAAGAAAAAACAATGACAATATCTGACTACCAGCTAGTTATTTTCTCTCATGGAGAAGCTAAAGTCACTAATAATTAAGAAATTACTTGCAATTGTTTTGCTTTTGCGAAAAAAATGCTTTAAGTGACAAAATGTGATTGATTGGCATATATAATTTGACACACTACAATTTATACAAGTAAATAAACATTAAAAGTTATTCAGTAGATACAGATTTTAATTTAACTTTTTAGTTATTTTTAACTTTGGATTTTAGAGAGGTTTCTACTTATTCTTTTTATATATGAAGCACAGCCATGCAGAGAGCACATAACATGTAGTGTATCTGTGGTATCAAATTTTCGTGGAGGGGCAATTAGAGAGAAAAGGTCTAAAAAAGGTTTCCTAAGGGAAGCAGAAACCTGTTAGGACATCTATCAGATGGGAAATGGAACTGAGTCATTCAAGTGAGATGTGGCATGAGCACTCCAATTTGCTGAGTACTGAAATGTCAAATAAGTACACACGCGCGTGAGCGCACGTGCGCACGTCCACACGAAGTGAAATGAACACGAGTGGAGAGAACTTTGCCTGGTACACATGAGAGAGGGAGGCAAAAACACGCAAAAGCACAGGGCTAAGTGAACCACCTGATAACCGCTAAAGCTTTATAAACACTGTGGCCCGCCATACAGTGTGAGTCTCTGCATGGGGATCACAGCTGCTGTAATACTGGATTTTAATCCCTTCCAAAAAGGGAACAAAAATTATATTTGAAGGCTTTCTTTAAACATGATAAAGTAGAGAAGCAAAGGAATAAGGATTGTTTTTATATGTTTTTATACAGAGTACTAAGGTCAGGAAGCTTAAAAACGTCTACACTGTTTTTCAAAGGAAAAAAGTTGATGCCTTAACAGAGTGATGCCTTTGTTGGTGGTAGTTACCACTAAATGTGGACACATCATATGGATCCCCTTCTATTCTGGTGCAGAACATTTGTATAAATCAAACCATAAATGAAACACCATTACTTCAAAAGTTGTCCAACAGATATTCTTCCCGTATATTTCTAAGCTCATGTTACACTGAAAGCCAGTGTGAAGACCAGGGAAAACTCACAGTCTCACCCATATTTTTTAGCATCTGAAATCCTTCACAGGTGTCCTGAAAGAGGAAAAGGTCATGACCTACAGGTCAAGTCAATGATCATTAGTAAGTGTTACTGTAACAGAAGGGACCTAAATAACCTCTATGGCTACATATGGTGCAGGATTAAATGTGCCTATTACTTATGGTGATTTTTCATCTCACAAAATGAATTCTGAGCAGCATGAAAACTAGAATTGTTCAAAACTAAAAGCTGTAAAACCTGTCTCTTAGGGATCTCGTCTCAAGTTTAAACTGAAGTCTTCTGAAGAGATGTAAATAAAACCAAACTGAACTGGTAACAAATTAAAGGGAAAATACACACTAAAAGTCAATGCAGCCAAATGCACACCAAGCCCACCACCTCCTACAAGAAAGAACTCTGGCCACTGATTTTCCCAGTAACCACATAACTGTTCTAAATAGAAAAACGCTGAGATTTTTTTCTTGCCCAGAGTGGTTTCAGAAAAGGATAAATGCATTCTAACATACATAATTCAGTCTGCAACCAACCACAAAAGGGGAGAAGCTTGGCGGGGCGAGGGGAGGGGGGGCACATACATATGCTGTAATAATCTGATCAAATGCCATTAAAACACTGAGCCGAATCCTGAAACCCTCAGAAGGCTTTACAGCCTGCTATGAAGTTCTTCTCCTGCCCTGCCCCCCGCCTTAACTGACCTCATCCTATGATCACCTCCTCGGTCTATCCCATGTTACGTTCTTCAGTGCCCAGGTGCTCAGCGAATGAAAACTCGGCAGCACCCTGACTTCTACCTCCGGCAGCAGTCCTTCCGCAGGGCTCCTCAGGCTGCAGAGGGCTGTCGCCTTAATAATAAACAAGGTTACGCTCCAATATCAACAGAACACTTTGGGGTCAATGCAGCAATCAATCAGATGAGCTTCCAGATTTCTCTCACAACGGACAGGGCCACATTTCTCAGAGGGGAATCACGTTTTGTTCCACTCATCACTACCATCAAACAGCACAGCACAAAAGGAAGTCGGTGGCGCTCATTAGAAAAGAGAAGAAATCAGGTGTAACGGCCAATGGGCTGACATGAGCAGGAATCTCTGGGGAATAGACTTAGCTCAATTACAAACACAAAGCCACCAAGGATTTTAATTATTAAAAAGTAAACCATATGCTAGAGTAACAGAAGACAACTCAGTAATCAAAAATGGTGGGAAATGGCCATTCTTAATCTGCTTCTCTTCTTTGATACTCTGAAGACCTTTTCTTTACAGAAAAAGTTATACACAAAATAACAATATTTTGGTAGAAATGATACAGCTAAACACACTCCAACTATCAAATTCCTGTGTTTATGTATTTACTTAGGAGACACATATGTATATCTATATGATATATATACAGTATATATATGAAGTTTTAGATAAACACCAGCTTTGTTCCTGACTTATTTTGACAAACCACTTACTTTAAGTGTTGATTTCTTTAACCATAAAAAAAAAAGTCACTAATCAAAATAGACTTAGAAATGCCTATGAGAAACGAGGGATTATTATTTATAATGACAGTAATTCTCTTTGGTTTGATGGCTCTTACAGAAAGCACTCAGGAAAAAAAGATGTGGCCAATGCTGGTGATAGAGACAGCAGAAGTAAATACCCTGTTTTGTTTTTCTTTACCCCCAAAATAGCCAGCTAAGATATAATGAAACATGTACTGGTCCAGGCCACCCATATGTATAAAGAAGTTGTACCAAAGCTTTTCAAATTTATAATTTTATAAATCATAGACGTCAAAACTTAAAAACATAAGAATATTCTATGAAAGCCTAAATAAATTTAAAAGGAAACCGAATATTGAGTCTGTCCTCATGCTAAATCAAAACCATAGTAACAACTTGGCCTAAAAGAGTGAACATCAAGACCTACAACCACATCAGAAGATTAGAGTTTATGAATGCATTTTCTAGTTAAAAACAAAACACAACACAACAGACATCTGTGTATTAGGGAAATTAAGTACTAAGTGTTACATATTTTAGCACCAAAAATAATGAAGGATTTAAATACTATCCTAGGTTTAGAATTATAAAAATCTGACTTTGAAAAAGATCAACACAGATTCGCTTTTTCTATAAAAGATCCCAAGCGGCACATACCATGGTATCTTCCAAATGCTAAATGCTGTAGCTCCTACCTTTCAGAAGGGTCTTAAATCAGTCTTCTCCTTGGAATGGCTACGCCCAACACTGAAGTTCAAGTTTCAAGTCAACACCCTCACTACTGTAGCACAGTGTATACTGTGATATGGAATCTACGCTACGCAACCTTCCAACCACTCTCTACCCCTTACTCCCTATACCATCCAATCTCCATACTGTTGCCAGACCCAAATCAAATCATTTATTGGGGGGGGGGGGGGGGTAGGGGGAAGCTTCAGTATTTTTTTTTCCTGATTAGCTAAAATCCCTTGTTCTAGCATTTAGGACTCTCAATATAGTCCTGAGCTTCCTCCTCACCCTCTAGGCAAACCAAACTGCACGAGGCCATGTTTCCCGTCGTATTTTGTCTTAGCTCACATGGCTCATCTTGCTTCCCCTATTCCTTCCTTCACAGGACAGGCCCATCCCACTTCCCAGATGCTCTGTAACACTTTCCCGGACACCCTCAGGTGCATGGCTTCCCCCTGTGGAAACCTCAAGGTTCCCATCGGATGCAGCAGCCTGGTGCGAGCTGGTATGTAACGCTCTTCCCCCGATAGGTTCTCAGGCAGCGGGGCCTGTCCTACTTACCTCTGTCTTCTTGAAGCCTGCCTCATGACTGGGAACTCAGATTCCTCCGAAAAATAAACATCTAAGGAGCTTACTCAGGCCACAGAGGCAACACATTAAGATGTTAATTTATGGGGGCGCCTGGGTGGCTCAGTTGGTTGAGTGTCCGACTTTGGCTCAGGTCATGATCTCACGGTTCGTGGGTTCGAGCCCCGTGTCAGGCTCTGTGCTGACAGCTAGCTCAGAGCCTGGAGTCTGCTTCGGATTCTGTATCTTCCTCTCTCTCTGACCCTCCCCTGCTCATGCTGTCTGTCTGTCTGTCTCTCTCTCTCTCTCGGAAATAAATAAAACACATTAAAAAAATATTTTTAAAAAAGATGTTAATTTATGGCTTATAGAAACATTATTCATATAAAAGTGTCCTATCCATTGCAGATAATGCTCCAATTCACCATTTCAGCTCTCTGCAATTTTTCAAGGAAAAAAAAACAGGCCCCATATACATAGCATAATCTGTTTCAGAGAACTGATTTCTATCCAGTTAATGTATTTATGAAAGGAAGTTTCTAAGTCTTCAGAAGGCAAAGAAGAAAACAGCTTTCAGGTTGCTATTAACTTGGCTGACCCTATCTTAAAGAACTCTAGAAGAGCAAACTGGTGAAGGAGTAAAGGCACTGTGAAGGCGGGCAACGTGGGCCTGTGGAAGGAACACTGGGCGAGAGGGGCGCTGCGTTCCGCACGTGACACACAGCCCAGCTCATTCAACTTGCCCAGGCCTGGTTCCTTCACGTGTGAAACCAGGGAATTGGGCTTGCTGAGCTCTAAGATCCAGTTCTAACGCTCCACAGCTCTAGAAGGATAACGCATGTCGTACTGGGTAATTTCTAATGAGGGATGTGGTGGAAGACAGTAACTCTCCGACATATTTAATCTCTCAATTTTGTGGAAAACAAACCAAACAAACAACAATGACAAAAACCTTCACAGATCTTCAATCTAAAAAGGCCCACGTGTTTCAGGGTTACTGCATTTTCAAAGAAATCTTCAAGTAAAAAAAAAAAAGTTAAACCACCAACAATAAAACAACAATCTATGAGGACTAAGAAAAATACATCTAAGAAAATCAAAAATATGTCCTCCAAAAGACCTCATATCACTACAAGTAACCGGTAAAGAACATTTTTAAAAAAATGAATGTTCTGTCAGACACTTAAGATGCCACATAGTTATGACAGGCAGTAGGAAGGAGTGGCATGAAACACTTCTTCCAAGTTGTTTCCGGAACTCTAGTCTAACAAGATAAACACAGAGTCCAACTACAAGGAAACGAAACGCAAAGCCTCCTTCAGCACCGCCTGCACAGGGGTACTGGGTTCTGTCTGCCAAACTGAAACTCTCCAACCGACTTCACCGCACACAGGCTTTTCTACAGGAGGGTCGCATTCTTCCCAATTAACAGGAAGCCTCTCAGGACAACTTTTCAGGGTTTTCTTTTGCCTTTAAACATTCAGACAGGTGGCTTTTGAGTGTGAATCCTCAGTTTAGGCTCTCTCAGCCTCCAGTTTGGACTACTGAGTTCAGAAGTGCCACCAGGGTGCTGGTGGCTTGCCGGTGCCTATAACCAGGGGCTACCACACTCAACTGGAACCAAAGTACTTTACTAAAGGAGCTCTACAAGCATTTTCCTAAGATGCTGGAGGGAAAAGGAAGGTTTTCTAGAAAATACTAACAATTACTTGAAATGAACCTCTATTTCCCACCTCCCCACTCCAATCAAACCAATCAAAAATTAGGACCTGGACTCTTCATTACATTATCACTAACTCAGTCTTACCTTCTGAGGCCTTGATCACATATCCCCCCTTCTTCTCACCAGGAGGTACATTAAGGAGCTGCATAATCCTGTCCAGCAGTCCATGGATTATCTCAAACCCAGGATTCTTATTGTAATAAACAGCACAGAGGTGCCTGTAGTTTCTCGCACCTACGTCTGAAAAAATAAAAGAATTAGCCATAAGGTCAACTGCTGTGGGGCTAGAAAGCATCTTTATGAAACTTAGAGCTAAAGCAAATACTTAGAGTAAATTGGGGAGTTGGGAGGTGGGGGAGGGCAGACCATTAAGTTCAAAGAGTCAAAATCATATTGTTTAAAGCATATACAGGGGTGCCTGGGTGGCTCAGTCGAGCGTCCGACTCTTGATTTCAGCTCAGGTCATGATCTCACGGTTTGTGAGTTCAAGCCCCACATCAGGCTCTGCACTTTCTCTCTCGCCGCCCCTCCCCAATTTGTGCTCTCCCTCCCTGTCAGAATAAATAAACTTAAAAAAAATTTTTTTTTAAAGCATATACACAGGTTGGAAAACTACGAAGTGAAGACAGGATTAACTACCACAAAAGTTAGAACAGTAGTTGTTCTAAGTAAAGAGAAGTGATAAGATGTGGAAGAGCCTTACAAGACACCCGAGATACCGGCAATATTCTTAGTTTGGATGGTTTATAATCTTTTTAAACTGTATGCTACATACACATTTCATATGTGTATGAAAAAAAAAGCAATATAGGAAGAGAAAAGAAGAATGACACTGATGAAAATATAAGCCAAAAAAACTTTCCACACAGGAAAAAGAAGGAAGAGAAATATACCAAAATGTCAACAAAGGTTCCATTTGGGCAGAGATCGTGTTTTCCAAATTTCATCTGCTTTCCAATTGTTCCCTGATCGCATGTATGATTCTACTTTGAAAATCAGAACTTCCAAAATGTAGTATTTTAAGAAAGACTTGCAGCAATCCAGATGAACCCTGACGGTGAGTAGATAAAGTGAGGTTTGCCCAGAGTGGAATATTACTCAGCAATGAAAAGGAACGAACCATTAACGGATGTGACCGCCTAGATGAATCTCAAAGGGCATTCTACCGAATGAAAGAAGCCAGTCTCAAGGTCTACACACAAGTCCATTTATAGGGCATTCTGGAAAAGGCAAAACTACAGCCACTGAGAACTGACAGAAGTTGCCTGAACTTAGATGTGGGGAAATGTGACTACGAAGGCAAAACATGGAAGGTTCTGGTGGCAACAGAGCAGTCTTTGTGTCTTGTAGTCATGGTCACAAAGATTTCAAACTTTATTAAAATCCCTTTTTAAAAAAGTGCCTGGTGGGGCACCTGGGTGGCTTAGTCAGTTCAGCATCCGACTTTCGCTTAGGTCATGATCTCGCGGTTCGTGGGTTCGAGCTCCGCGTCGGGCTCTGTGCTGACTGCCAGCTCAGAGCCTGGAGCCTGTTTCCGTCTGTGACTCCCTCTCTCTCTGACCCTCCCCTGCTCACGCTGTCTCTCTCTCTCTCTCCCCTAGAAATAAATAAAACATTAAAAAAAAAAAAGTGCCTGGCATACGAAGGTAAACTCAAATTCAACAGTGAGCATTTAACTTGAACAGATAAACATATACTTGTGGCCCTTTAATTGTGAAGGGGACGGCTGCTCTAACACAATCAAGAATGTTGACTTCGTTTTATTATTCAAATTAGGAACAGAGAAAAAACAAAACAATGTCTATCTGGGGGAAACTGGAAATAATCTACTTTATATTCTCATGGAGTGAGTAAAAGCTCTTCCACAGACTTATTCCCATAGCCACAACTGACAAAATATAAAATGTCTTCTACCTTCCAGATATCCAAATAAAACATGGGTATTTTAAGACACTATACGACTAAAGTAATATAAAAGTGAGAACATAAAAGGGGTGAAAAGGAAAACTCACAACTGATTACTATGTGCCAGGTATTTAGTACCTATCATTCTTCTATAATCTTATTTAATTTTCAAGACAATCATGTAAACTGGATTTTATTACCCCCACAAAACAGGATAGGAAAAATAAGACGGAAAAACAAAGGCTCAGAAAGATTTTACCCAATGTCAAGCAAACTGGCGGGAGCTAATTGCAATTAACTACACAGCTAATAAGCTATAAAACCAGGACTTGACTGGGATGGTCTGGCTCTAAAACACATGCTCTTTCTACGAAAGACTTCAAATCTCTAAGTGTCTAAAGGATTTGGAGGAGATTTCTCAATCTCTGAAGCACTTAGATGAAAACAAATAACATACAAGCTTAATAGAGTCAAAGATGCACATTCTTGAGATGGTTTTGATATGACACGCTTTAGTATTCTCAAGTGTTATTTGTTAGAAGTCCTTCAACTGAAGTTTCAAGCCATCAACAATATTGTAACTCACGGAAAGCGCACTTGAAGTTACACTTCTGACTGAACACAGTGAAGAAATAACTGTTCCTGCCATGTAACACTGCTTACTGCCCACTAGGTTCAAGGCACTCCAGTTTATGAATCCCTGGAGGGAGAAGGTCAAAGCCAGCACAGGGCCTGCACAGACTAACCTCTCAACAATTAATTTCTGAGTAAGTGAATAAACCCAGAAAGGAAATGTGGGTACACATACACATGAGCGCGCGCGCACACCCACACCCACACACACCCACACCCACACACACAGCTAACCAGGGCCAGGCCCAGACAGTATGCCTCGTTCTAAGGCAGCCCAGGAGCCAGCTGCCGCAGGAAAGGGGGCTCTGCGTTGCTGTCGTCCTCTATCATTTCCATTTGCGAGAATAAAGAAATCTGGTATCTAAAAGCTATAATTGAAGGTGTAAGAATAAAAATTAATATTAAAACCAGGCAGACATAAAACCTCACTAAACCAACCACATGCATAAACGAAAATGAGGGGCTTGATTTCTCCGTAGGAACACACACACGCACACGTATACCCGCATGCTCCCTGAAGGGAAAAAAATGCAATGAAACAGAACTAAATTATCCCTTTCATATTACTGACTTGCTCCTGGGCATCTCTGCCATGTGGTACCCATTTGTCACATGCTTCCACTTTAACACACAGACATGTATTCAAACTACTTTGTTGTTCCACTTTTGCTGGGAGAGAGGAGCCCAGCAGTAACGCCAGCATTCAGAGAGCTTAGCAACATAAACTGGAAGCTTCATTTTGGTAACCTCTGTGCCTTTGAATACTTCTTTCCTCATCTCCAAGCTACATAAAACTTAACTTTTCTGATAAGAGGAGAGACATGTGGTTTAAATGCT